GTGGTCCGATCCAACAGACGAGCAACTGTAACTGAAAATTGCTGAAAAGTGAATGCTGGTTCTGATAAAAAGGGGTCAGAACACACAGTGCATCGCAGTTTGTTGCATATGAGGCTGCGTTGCTGCAGACCAGTCAGGGTGCCTGGGTGATCATAATTGTTATGGCTGATCGGTGTATAACAACAATATAAATAGAAAATAGAAAAACATTAGAGAAATTGAAAAATATAAATGAGAGTTCCGAAATATGTACATTCAATTACAATATTGACGAATATAGTATTGAAGTATTAGGAAACGATTATCGTGACTATAGTTGTTCATGTGTCTGGATTCTAATTTAATCAATAAATGTGAACAGCTCAATGTAATTGATGTTTTCCAGTATAATTCTTAGGCAAATTAATATTAAGTATATTATATATTTGAGCACCACTGTTTTTCCTCTTAAATGCACCTTAACTTCCTGAGTAGCTATTGTAGTTCATGGTTTATCCAATCATGCCTCTTACCAGTGACAGACCATCTGGCTCACAGTCCACCAGAAAAGACACAATGTTTTTTGGCCCTGTGAAGTTATGTAAAGCAACTGCAAGATTGTTACTAAGTTTAGTTTGTACATCCGTGCAGTTTTCTCGCGTAATTATAATCCCACTTACTATACAGTTGGAACGCACTACTCAACAGGCTCGTTCGAGATGAATCTGTTCACAAACATATCTTGTGTTATTGATAAAAATAATAATTTTATTTAGTTTATTTATATATCGGAATGTGGTCTACAAACTACAAACAGCCTAAGATGTCAGACTTGACTGCAGCTTTTTGTCACCTCTTCCTGCTGCTGCCACCTGATCTCGTCCACTTTAGAGGCAAAGCGCAGTTAATCTCAAAAGAGCCTAATCTGACGTCATAATACTACATAGTATGAATTAAACATACCCAACCATCATTAAAAAACCATTTCCTTCATCACTCAAATAATCGTTCATCTGATATGAAAGCTTTTCTGTGTCTTCAAACAAGAAAAGACTCACTGACTTGTTCCTGTGAATGTCTGTCATATCTGCTCCAAGTATGTTTGTGAAAGAAGAGACTGGTTAATAACTAGTTAATTGTAGTTAATAGTTAATAGTCTAGTACTGCTACCCGTCATAGACATATAATGACAAAATCATCAGTTCATAATCAGTTTATAAAATAGAATTCATTATTTTACATTCAAGCAGCCAAAAGTATTTGAAGTAGTTCATATTGGCTCCACCTGCAGCAACTCCAACATTAAAGTACTGATTACATGTTAATGCATCAATAATAATCATCCACTAATATAATAATACAACACTGACAGAGGCCAAACCTCTTAGTAAAGTTTTCTGCTGTTTTACTGAACTAAAGAGCCGATCACACAGAGACACATAGCAAAGATTAATTACTTCCTTGTGGTTCGGTGCGCCTGGTCTACGCTCCTCTTTTGCATCACGGTTTTGTAGCAGTGTTTAGACGCACCAGCAGTTAGCGCAACAAGATGAACAAAGAGTCATTGAGGAGTCAAACAGTGAAAAGTGTCTCTTACTAACCTTCAGATGGACAAAAGAAGCTGCGACTCGACAAGCTCACAAAATGAAAATTGAATTATCACTCCCACTGCACTGCTGCTCCAGTAACCATTTTAAATAAATAATTTCAGTTTGACTGTGAGGAAGTGTAACCTCGTAAACTGGTGTGTGTGCTGTGGAAACGGTCACAGAATCCTTTGTGGTAGGAAAGGCTGTTCATTTCACAACCTGAGCCAAAAAACAGCCAAAATTCTGAAATGTGCTTTTAAGAGACTGTGTTGCCTAAATACAAGAGAAGTGTCATCAGACAGCTCCTTTCCTGTCTTGAGTTAGTTGACTGCTGTGAATGGATTCCTGTTACTGAGCTCCTGTTTTCCTTTTGACTCTCAACTCAACAGTAACATTTGGACTACATGTGGCCTCAGTTTTGTTCACGTGTGATAAAATAGTAGCCGTACAACCGGGCTTGATAAGGCTGATGTGTGGGAAATAAACGCGGAGTATTGTGGAAACCAGCTAACAATAGCTCAACCAAAAACACAGACCCAAACTGTTACACTTTCCGAAGCTGCATTTACAGGTATTACAAGATTATATGTGTGTGGTCTGATATAAAGCAAGTACAAAGTACATAGTACAAATGTGACAGTTATTTCTGTTGTAAGTATACTGTGTACTGATCTGGGTACTTCCCTAGTTCAGCACATTAACTTAAATATTAACAGACCGTCAATATAGGAAGCATCCACTATACACTGATAAAGCAATTCAGGATTACTATCATTAGCACACAATAATAATATTAATAATAATAATAATACACATGTCTGTGGTACACAGTAAAGCGGTTAACAGCATAATTAATAGCAGGAACAGCAATGATAATAAGGCTACTCTGTCTACAAAGTAAACTATGAACAACTGAACAAAATAATTCAGGCACAATTATTCACAACAGAAGTGTCATAGCTCACATGTAGTATGTTGGTCCAGATTATTGTCCTTTGTCACACGTCCACCGCCACAAAGCAGGAATATTGCCTGCTCATTACCACACAGTCGGGGAGGGCAGAGTCCGTTTATGTTAACGTCACTGTGAGGAAGGTGGAACTTCCCTGCTGTAGTGACCCACTGCAGGTGATCCATCGATGGTCCATAAAAAGATGAAAAATGTTGATATTTTGTTTTCCACATGAAACAGGAAGCAGGGTGCTGTTTGCTTCCTCTTGTGTCCTGTAGAAACTAGCTAGGGAGGAACTTTGGTAAACATGTTCTCCCTTACGTCCTCATGAGGCTCTTATAAGTTCTCTTCAAATGAAACATCTTAACATATGAGTGGAACATGTACACCTAGTCTTGTTTTTGTACAGCCCGAGCTAACAGCTAACTAAAGCTAATTAACAACGAATAAACCTCCAGACTCCAGCTGTCAACAGTGAAACATTTAGTTTGAAACTTGAATGTAGTTGGAGGGACTTTAGGACCCAGCAGAGATTATGTGCAGTCTCAGGTGATATCTGATCAAAGGTCAGATGCAGGTGTGGTAGGCGGTATAGACAGAAACCTGTTTCAGAGCTGCACTAATGTGACCTGAGCAATAATGTTAAATCTTCACAGACATCCCGTCAGAGTAAAGGAGTCATTCAGGATATTTATGAACTGAACAGGACAACCTGAGACTTATTGATAAGCACTGATTATAGAGCCAAACTAACTAAATATACCTTTGAGGTTGACACAGAGTGAGCTGTCTCACCTTAAACCAGCTGATTTCTTTATCACCCTCCATTTATTAAAATCCAAAGCTGATTCATTTTACAAATGACAGAACTGAGATGCTTTCTTGGTTATCTTAAGGGATGCACCCGTTCATACTGAGTTCTTTCTTCATTCATTTGTCTCAACTTAAAAAACAAACTTTCGCTCTCACAGTTTGAGTGGCCAGTCATTATTCTAAACTCTAAACTGGTAAAAGATAAAAATCATATAATTGTTTTAAACGTATCACCTTAGAAAGCTGTCAGTAGCTGTAAAGCAGCTTATCCTTTCAGTCTGTGGAGCTAAGCTAACTTTAGCACAACATTAAATCAGATATCAGAACTTTTACACTTTCAGGTGTAACTTAGAAGCAGTTTGTTGTTGTTTGTTTAAATGGCATTATTATTTGAAGTTACATTTGAAGTTTTCAGTTGAAACAACCTCGGGTTACTAAGAAGCTCTTTCAAAATAAGTAGGTGTGAACACTCCCAAATGTCCCAAGGAGGCTCTTCAAATTACACATCTTAACATATGAATGGAATGTTTTGTTGGTGCAATGGCAGAGATTTTTTGATTCAAATGTAGCTTAACGATGTCCTGTGATGTTACTTTAGGACATAAGAACAAAAATTAGTGGGACTACTACAAATAACTTAATATACAGGAATTAGCATTATGGACATAACTAAAGCTAATCAAACAAATACATTTAGTCAGCCAAATACCAACTTCACGTTCAGCAACAGTTAGCTAAAAAGCTAAAACACAATAGCTTGCTAACTTGCTCGATGTAAAGTCGCTAACAGCTATAAGGAAGTGTGATATGCACAGTTATTTATTCTTTTTATGGGTCTTAAATTCGGTCATTAGCACCACAAACAGCTGCTGTGGAAACAGTCAAGTTCACTGAAAAGAGTGCGGTAACGGCTGTGTATCAGAGGAGAGTGGAGCCTCCCAGGAAGACTTTATGAAGGCTGAATGTTATAAAATACACATCCAAACTACGTTTATATAATCAGTGACTCAGTGATTATGGATGCCTGAACCTGCTGAAAATAAAGGCAGCTTCTGCTTACTAACTTTTGGAGAAGAATCAGAACTTCCAAATTTATGTTGAGCAAATAAACTTATCAATAGCAGTGGAGGAAGTATTCAAATAAGTATCACAAATATTCTGTTATAAGTTAAAATCATGCATTCAAAATGTTCCTGCAGTTGAAGTACAGAAGGACTGAAATGTTTCAAAGTAAAAGCACTCATTATGCAGAATGAGCCCTGTCAGTGTTATTAAGTTACTGTATCATTATTATTGATCATGTATAGATACATGCAGTTTTCTAACCTTTAAGCTCCTCCTAGTTCTCCTTGGTGAAGGGACAAAAGTTTCTCTAAGGAGGTAATTACTGGATGTAAATATAGACATAGCTGCAAGAAGATTGAGTTTGGTTTCATGAAAATCAGAATTAGAATCAGAATCAGGATCAGGTTTATTGCCAGGTAGGTTTTT